AACAATGTATGGCTTCTAAAGGATAAGTACCAATTGTGGTTATCAAAAGACATTGACCCAAGACGTGCTAAATGCAAACTGTGTTGTAACATATTCAATATTTCGAATATGGGCGAGGCAGCGTATGCTAGCCACATGAAAGAGTAATTTTTTTGGTCATAGAAAAGTCATTTCAAATCATTGGTGAAAAAGTGTATGAACCCTATATTGTAAATATTGAGATGTTACAGTTTCTTATGTTAACATAAATAGTTGGTTGTAAAAAAAAGTTGTAATGCTCAATTTGTATTTGTACACATCACATGAACCTCAGTATGGAATATGAAGTCATTAATCAGTCCTGATGTAACTTTTCTGTGGTGAAAGTAGAGTGATAGAACTATTTTACTCCAAATTCTAATTTACACATTTTCATTTTAGACATGAACACATTTATATAGGCCTAGTGTGTAATTCATATATTTCACTACTTTTGTGAACCAAGAACGTTGGTAAACCACATCTGAAACACCAAAAAAAATGGATGATATGAGTACATCTGTGTTTTCACAAGAGTTTTTAAGTTTTCCAAAAATCTGATTTCTAAGCTAAGTATCTCATAAGACAGTGCTCTAAGGTGAGTGACATTGCATTTCTAGCAAGACCAGAGACTGAACATTTTGATATTTTACACCATGCCATGTTATAAGAAGTACATTTAAAAGGTGATTTAAGGAGACATAAATACCCTTCACTTCAGTAAGGTAAGGCGATTTTATTTTAAAAGACAATGAAGGCAGGTTATATTGATTGATATATTTATTATATTGAAAGCCAAATTAATACATAGTCCCCTGAATCTGGAATAACGTATAATTTACAGCCTCACAATGTCAGGAACTTTTCATCTACAGATTCCTTTGGTCTGGTTTTGCTTCACTGATTGGTTACTGAGATTTTGAATTTAAACGGACCTCCCCGTTTATTCGCGCGAATAAACGGGGAGGTCCGTTTATAAAACGGACCTCCCCGTTAATCCGCGCGAATTATGGCGCAAATGGCTTTCGATAGCGAATAAACACGCGAATTATGGCGCAAATGGCTTTCGATATAACGCGCTCAGCCGGACAGAGAAACCCTGCTTGATTTACTGAGTTGATAACCAGCTTCGTAGGACGGTTTAGCGACATCGCGTTTGTTAGGGTTAGTTAAGCCGGGTAAATCGAACATATCCAGGTCCAGGGTCTGTTGAACTGGCTTTGTCGTACAGGGCACTGGAGGCAGTAACGTGTAACTCAGCAGAATCTGAGAAGAGCAGCACCAGCTGCAAAGAGCTGTGCCTTTTACTGTTTACTTCACTGCGTTTCCCTTCATTAGAACCGCTGAATAGAGATCGAGGCTGCTACGTTTAACCACACACACCTATACACACATCGAACTACCAGAGTATTCCCCCTCGCTTTATGAAGGAGATGTCCTGTCACCGGGGCGCATGATGTGTGTGTGTGTGTGTGGTGTGTGTGTGTGTGTGTGTGTGTGTGTGTGTGTGTGTGTGTGTGTGTGTGTGTGTGTGTGTGTGTGTGTGTGTGTGTGTGTGTGTGTGTGTGTGTGTGTGTGTGTGTGTGTGTGTGTGTGTGTGTGTGTGTGTGTGTGTGTGTGTGTGTGTGTGTGTGTGTGTGTGTGTGTGTGTGTGTGTGCGCTCAGCTCCGCTCTGTGTGCGTGTTCGTGTGTATCCGACACCACCGGCATTTGTTTTCAAATTACCACGAACAGCACACGCACACACACACACACAAAACGAGGCCACGCTTTATTAACTTGTGCGCACGAGTTACTAAAGCGTGCGCACGAGAAAGTAAAACGTGGCCACGTTTTATTTATTTTTCTCTCTATGAACTCTCCAGGGCTCCGTAGATATGAGTTTGCTAGGGAAAACATTGTTTTTATGCCAGCTACAATGAATGACCGAACGTAGCAGACTACCCGTATAAGATTGCAATTGTAAACATGTTCTTGCTAGCCTAATATGAACCACTAGCTGTTGTTCATAGTAGGTTGGCATATTAATAATAATAATACATTTATTTTGGGGGCATCTTTCATAACACCCAAGGACACCTTACAGGGTTACAGATTTACAATTTACATTTACAATTTTACCTTACAAATTAAAACAGCGGATTTAGTGAAGCATCAGCCGGGGTAAGACAAGACAAACAACAGGAAATTGAATTACACTGAACAACTAGTATATTAATCTAGCTGGCAAGCTAACAAACCTAAAACAACAAAGTTTCTCTAATATTTTGTGATTTGCATTTGATTTTGTCCAGCCAGATCAAGAAACTCCTGGCGTATCTGGCGGACAACACATGACGGGATGACCACTCTGATGCCTCGTCCTAAAAAGCCCCAGCACCAGTTTACAAAGCTGCGATAGGCAAGATGCCGAAAACGCCTATAAGGGGAGGAATGGATGATATACAGTGTATTTTGTATATTTACACATGTTCATTTTGTACATTTCTAAAAATAAAGTTGGATGGAAATACTTAGTAGCCTTTCTTCCCTGAATTATTTTCTCCTATAACATATCATTGTTGATGTTCCGCTCAGAGCCGAAAAAGCACTGTGTTAGACATGGGCGGAGCCTCTCTGGTGGTTGACTAATCAGAACAGAGTGGCCGAGCTGACCAATCAGAGCACACTGGGCTCACAGGGAGGAGGGGGGCAGGAGCTCCAACAAGCCGTTTAGGACAGAGAGTGAATACACATACTTTACAGAGATGCTGTATGAGCAACCAATGTGAGTTTGGAAAATTGCACAGTATAAATCTATTTTAGTCTCATCAATCACCTCATCAATGGAATTATGATCAGTAGCAATGGCCATGACATGGGCCCTTTAAAATAAAAACAATAATCGTGGCTTGATATTGAGTAAGAACATGTTTTTATGAACCCCACAGCTTCATAACCCGGACAAAGAAACGTGCTGCAGGCACGAAACATGCTACCAATATAAATACATTGCTTTTAAAATCGTTCTGTGTGACACCAAAAAAAGGGGAAAATCGTGTTGGTGAACACGAATCAATAGATTAAATGTTGTGACTATAACACGAAATGCCGTGAGACTGGGTTGCTCAGGGAGGAGAAATCAGCGGAGCTACAGCTGAGAAAATATTGAGTGTGTGTGTGTGAGGAAGTCCGCGGATTGGTCCATTTGGACCAATCCACGGACTTAACCTAACGGCTCCGCGGACGTAACGTAACGGCTCCACGGATTGGTCCATTTGGGTATGGGCACGTCACTCTACCCAGGAAGAAAACAATGGGAAAAGAGAAATCCCCAACGAGGCGTTCTGGGGCAGCATAGACAGGTATTTTCTGTGTTAGAGTTGTACTCCCCACAGGGGTACTTTGAGGGTTTGTGACTCTGCAGACCGTTTCCATGCAGAAAACCTTCATAACGGTACGTCCACACAGCAGCTTTTCAAAAATCTTGAAAATCTTGGAGCTGGGCGTGTCTGAAAGCTTGGGGATTTTTTGCGAGCAACGCGACCAACAACCAATCACATGAATCTCCCGCCCCCGACATACAAAGCAAAAAAACCCTGGGATTTTATGCGAGCAATATATATATATATAAACTCCCCAAACAGGCGAAAACCTACCAGTTTCACCCACTGTCTCTGCCACCTCCCTCCATGCCTGGTTCCTCCGGTTTGTATCCCGTTAATAGTTCTGGTGGTAAAGAACCGGGTGATTTGCTACCGTAATTTCTCGTTTGGAATATAGAAATGAACTGCGGTCTGGCTCTCCCTGCTTACACGCGGTTTGATTGGCTAGCGCTTCTACTGTCAGATTTGCATAAACGTGATTTGATTGGCTGACGCTTCCAGCTCAGCTTCAAAAGTTGAACATTGTTCAACTTTTGAATCCTGGCAATCCTGGAAATCTTCGCTTCGCTCCCCCACAATGCAGTTCGGCAAAAAGCGAGGCAAAGTGACGTCATCCCCATTCAAAGTCAATGGGCAGAGAAGCGTTGGAAGCGGTGGAAGATTCGTCTAAAGCTGCTGTGTGGACGTACCGTAACACACAAGGGGACGGGTAATAACCGGAAAAGCATGACATGGGACCTTTAAATAAAGCTTAGCGAAAGTTCAATCAGCAAGAATTCTGTTATACCCCTCCCATCTCTCTTTCTATCTCCCCCTTTGCCTGCCTCTAACTTAACCGGATGACTGAGGGCTGTCATTTAAACCAATCAGATTTTGCCTCAATCTCTGCGAGCCAATCATCCTGTTAAACTCTAAAACTGTTCCTTTATCTGCTGCTGTCAGCTGTCATTTTTAAGTGTCAAATCGAAGCAGCCCTTCTCCGCCATAAACACCTCCATCCATCTCGACCGTGGGTCATCTACTGAGCTCATTATTCCAATACACATCGCATCGTGCCACATGTTCAGAATGTATCTGTTTGCATGGTACCCATTTTAAAAACTGTAATCAATACCAATCATATTAATAATATAACAACAGTAAATATTCCACTTTATATGTTAGGGCCCAAGCTGCTCTCCAAGTAGAGGAGCTGATAATGTATAGCACACAAACACATCATCCTCTAAAACCTAAATGTAATATTTATGCTTTGAGATAGTCTTTGTGAAAAACAGATAGGCCGAAAAAGCCTTTATCAACATAAATAATAACACTTTAGTTCTTTCCTCAGTGTAAACCGCTTTAATGTTAGCATTGTGTAAAGGGTTTCATATCGGGCAGTAGCAAAGGATAGTCTATACCAGGCATTAACAGCTGAACACTGTGCATGCATGCTTGTGTGTGTGTCCATGTGTGTGAGTGTGTGTGTGTGTGTGTGTGTGTGTGTGTGTGTGTGTGTGTGTGTGTGTGTGTGTGTGTGTGTGTGTGTGTGTGTGTGTGTGTGTGTGTGTGTGTGTGTGTGTGTGTGTGTGAGGGGGCGGTGATGATTCAGAAGTCAGATTTCTCACAGGAACAGCCACTTCACTAGAAGCAGAAGCACATTGCAGTTGGCCAGTGAGGGAAGAATACTTTTTTGATTTTCTCTTTGGAAGGGATCTAGAGGATTAAATAGAGAAGCATACACACGTTACTATTGGATATTTGATTGTCTGACTGTCACAATGTCCAGAGTTACCAACCTGTCGAAGCTGCGGCAAGAGAGGGTGAAGGAGATCAACCTGCGGGTGAGTTGGCATTATGTTCATCATTAGGTGTAACAACAAAAAAGACTATCACGCGCTGGCATCTAACTGACTTCCGGTCCTGTCAACCACACAATGTATGTTTACGACAGGGAAAACAAAAGTTAAGTGAAGATTTCCACCAAATGATATCATGTATATTTTAGTAGTCATTTCCTGTCTCTGTGTTTGTCACTTCCCTCCTCTTTCTTCATCATGTGTCATTGCCTGTTTTTGCACTCCAACCCATGAAACATTTCCTAATTTGACACGGGGCCTGCTCTATGATTCAGGAGCACGGGCCTCTCAGGCCATGGGCCCGGTTATAGGGGGGTGCCGTTCTCATCCAGATCTGCAGGATAAGCCTCTTTGTATTTGTGAATGTAGGTGGTGGTCTGTTTGTATGTTTGCTTGAACACAGTGTGCTTGCTCACTTGATATTTGACTATAGCAACTGTTGCCATAGAAATGGCAGTGGGTGTGTGTGAGATATTACTGCTTTATTTGAGAATATTATAGGCCTGAATAATCTGTGTAAATAAATATATAAAAAAATATATCTAGGACTAAATGTACTAAGGCACCAGTCTCGCAGGCTCAGTTAGGCGTTCTCATTAGAAAGGTGCACACACGAGAGGTTCAGGTAAAAACGCTTTTTCAAGGGATCAGCCAGATTCACTAATGTCACACAATTTGCAGTTTTTGTGAGCTACCATGGATGCATGAAAGGAACTGGACAAAGCATTGGAGGCAGGGCCCCATTCATTCCTATGAAAGTTGATCAGTGGCGCATGAAGCCAAAATGACCTGACTCTCGAGAACGGAAATTCCCAGATCTTCCAGGAATCTTCCCCATCCTCTGGATCCCAGCGACTACTATGTCAGGGCCGACATCTCGGATCAGTCAAATGAATGGAGGAGGTAAAATAACTCTGGATTCGGCCATAGAGTGGTGCAGGAATGAGTCATAAACTGGGAAATTAGTTGGCATTTCAGCACTTCTGGGTTCCCTTGTTTCAAAGTCAATGTCTTTTTGAGAACTTGTTTGGATGCCTGAAATGAGGTCTAAAACATGCTAATGAGATTTTCACATTTTCTTCTACGACATTAAATAGATCAGTAAATACTCCACTGGGGAATGTCCGAAGCTTCTACATGTCTTAAAAAAGACAGTTGCTAACAACATGAATACAGAAACTAAATGTCATCATGCCAAACATTAGCCGCCTTTAGCTTAGCGGTGGTGATGTAAAGTCATGCGACCGCCAAACTTTATTTATAGCCTAATATTAGCTTTTTAGTTTTACTTCTGGTTATTGCAGTTATGCTTCAATTATTATAAGTATCATAAACATCTGTTTGCCACATGGAAAAATCCCTTTGCTTTTTGTATGAAAAATGACAACTACGACATCTTACATATGTTTTTCTAATATGCCCTTTCAACATTTTGAACAGAACCTAACTAACATGATTTCCTTAAAAAAAAGGGAGAAGAACCAAAGGAATCACATTGGGAGTTATTGATAATGTTGCAGGATAAAGTGATATTGTTGATAGTATACAAAAATACCTACAAATAAAGGAAGAGAGAGGCCTGGTCAGTGGCGGATGGCCCATAGGGGCACCTTTTCTTACATTCTAGATTGTCATTAAAACATCTTTTTTGTTTACCTTTTTTTTAATGAACAAGGCACATATTATATAGTTGATGTCAGATAAATTTATAATCTACGATAAAATATCGAAAAAAATTGTTTTACGATGTCTAAAGTTACTGATAAGATATGTTTCCTGCTTGGGGCGCAGCAATCTTTACCCATAGAGTGGTGCAGTGATGACTTATTTACCCGGAAGTAAGCTGCGCATAAATTCCCTCGACAAAAAAGCAATGAGATTTCTCCATAGGATAAATGCATGTTTTGTTCAGCCGGATAATATCCACATGTCTACCCTACTTTTATAATTTTCTAATCATAAATCTAATCGCCAGAAGCAAAATGCTAACGTTATGCTAAAGGAACTACAGCCGAGTACAGCAGCACGACTTCAACGTCACGCCAATTTAAGATCCATATTAAAAATACGGATTCAAAATTGTACGAGTTGGAGCATTTGTTTGAACAGTCTGCAGGAGGCAGGTACTTGCTTTCAAGCATAACAGAAACAAACTTAGAGGAGTGTTTACGTGTTCGGCGTAATGACGTACAACGTCCTCCACAGCTTCTGTAGTCCTATTCAGCCACTTGGTAACAACCATAGTTTTTCAGACACGTCAACTCTTCAGAAATCACCAGTGGGGTCACAGCTGATGGATTTAATGTCGTAGAACAAAACGTGATCCGTCTCTTTAATTTGTGTCAAACACAGACCTTATTTCCAGCTATTTTTCAAAATCCTATGGAGAAATCCCATTGGCTCTGAGACGAGGGGACAGGAAGTGGTGAAATGCTGACTCACTTCCTGTTTTAGGACTCGTCACTGCACCACTCTATTGACTCTCGTTATAAGTGGTGCATGCACAGTCCGCACCTCTTCAATGCAACAGATAGGAGCAGCTCGGGGCGCACCAAACTGCGCCCAAAGCAGCTGTTGACACAACTAGGGGGCAGCAGGAGCGCCAGAGTGAGTGATTGACGTTTGAATGAGAGAGAGTTAGACGGAGACGGAGTGTGAACAAAACTAGATAGCGAATATGGAGAAGGAAAAGTATGTTTAATCACTTAAAGAAACACCCTTTGAGAGGAGGACACCGGAGGGAAAGCTGAGAGTAAAAGAGCTCGGACCTGATCAGCCTGACATAGGCAGCAGTTAAGGACAGAGGGAGGCAGTATACGTGCTCTTTTTCAAGGAGCTGGTTTAGCAAGAAGGCTAACTACCTGTAGCAACACCAGGGCTATATTTTGCTTCCCTGCCTCCCTATTCAAACGTCAGGATCAGACGAGTCTATAAACCAGACCCAGCATGGATCCAGACAGATGTGAGTGACTTAAAGCACATATCAGTCCACATGGATGATGCTATGCGACTAGCCATGTTTAGGAAAGTAAACACAGCTGTCCAGAGAGGGCTACAGGATAGGGATCAGTAAGCATAATAAGGAGGCTGACAAAAACACTCAAATAATATAATATGTACTTATTGTAAGTCGCTTTGGATAAAAGCGTCAGCTAAATGCAATGTAATGTAAAATAATAGACTGTATCAAGTGCTGTGTGCCTTTGAGCTAGCCCTGAGTTATGTTTTGAGTTTGTGTATAAGTTTGCTTATATTTTGGTAGAGCCCCCCCTGGAGAGAAATGCACCAGCCGCCACTGGGCCTGGTATAGATTGAGCATGCCGGTTTGATTCCCTCATGTTGTACAGACAAACTGCAACGCCTGAATGCAGCTTTCCTTCCTTCTTCTCCCCCAGCACTATTTTTAGTTTTTCATGTTCTGACTAAATTGTGGATTTCTTTTAGAGAACATGTTGGGCATTGTGTGAGGAAGTGCTGCTCTTCTCTACAGCAGTTTCTCCACATTGTTGGCACAGTCACTTCTCTTTTGGCAGCCATGTTTTTCTGTGTTAAACATCATACATGGTAGATAGTTACATAGGGCCAAATAACATTGCGTGTTGACTTTGATGGGTCAGGTCTCAGAAAACAGCTTGAGCTGGTTTGTGGACAAAGTGTCTTAGGGTAAAAAAGATCAGGTGGGGGACTTTTGTCTCTGCTCATCTCTTGATACTGCAGGGCCTTGTGATGGAAAGAGTGGGGGTTGCTTTGTTTTAGATGTATCCAATATTTTATTGATTATCTTTGGATTTTTTATTAGAATGGATATTGGCCGGATTCAGCTCTGCAGGTATTGTCTGTTTTTGTCTAGGATGATTTTACAAAAGTAATTGTGAGCATTTTCAATTAGCTGCTTTTCTTATTTGTAAATGTTTTGTTTTGTTTGCGGGTCCACACTTTGCTTCCATAAATCAGAATGGGTTCTATTATTGATTGTAGTAATTTAAGCAAAATCTGTATGCTTTTCTCTCAGTTCTGCTGGTTCTGAACTTCCTGGGGCTGTAGGACTGGACCTACAGCCCCCCTACAGTGGTGTGAGGGTTCTCTGTCTCTGGTGCTCTGATCCTGGGATGGCTGCCTTGCCGTGGAGGGGATGGAGGGCGGTGTTGACTGGCAGGTTGTGTCCTGCGTACCAGTGTGTATGATATAGTGGTGGCTAAGCTGGCTGACTCTGGCTGGAGGGCATTGTCAGTCTTGGGACACCGACATTTACTGTCTTTTTGAAGGGAACAGCTGGTTCTCATTTACAGATTTCCCATTCAGGTCTAAGTGTAACAATGTCAGCATCACTGGGAGTTATATTGTCTCCAGATGTCTTGTGGTGAAGGGGGTGGGTCGTAATGAAGCTTTTTGTTGTGGCCTTGTCTCAGTGGAGGGCTGTGGTTCAGGCTGGGGTCTGTTGGTCTGAGTCTGGACCTGCTTGTGGGGGTGGTTTGCTCTCTCAGGGGCAGCCCCTCTCTGGTGGTCCCTTCTCTCAGCAAAGCTTCTCTCTCCTGCTTCAGCTTCTGTGTTCTCAGTGCTGCTCCTCTCATCACAACCTTCCATTTTGACTGTCTTTGCTTGTCAGTCTCTTTAGTAACCCTTCCTGTACAGAGCTGAGGCTGGCCTAATTCTCTTCCAACAAGATGGCCATATGATCTACATTTCCAGTAAGAGGTGGACTGTGCATGTCCTTATCTTTGATGACTACCTGTCTCCCACTGCATAATGTCTCTCTTTTTATGATGGTTATGGTGGGCACAGAGGGCTTCCTGACAGGCATCAGTTCTGTCTGTGTGCAGGAGAAAGTTATTCATAACCTCTTGTACGGCATATATTTGCAGTCAGAGCCTCTCTGGGGCTTGCTCTTAGTTTTTTCAGTTTGTATAGGGCTGTCAATGTTAATGTGTTAACGCTTGTGATTAATCTGGAAACCTTAATCACATCGCCAATTTTGACCCAAAGTC